CTTTTGGTTGGACAAAACAAGCAATTTAAATTGGGCTCTGGAAAGATAATAGATATTTTCCACTATGAAGTTTGGCTTTCCGACCAAGTAAAAGTGACCCCTCATGACACCAGAGGAAGAACTTTCAGTACTTAGAAATATTTTATCATCAAATTGTTAAAAACGCTAATCAAAGTCACTATTAACAGACGTCAGCTGCCGCTCCTGCAGTCAGTTATTGGACAGACTGTTTTTAATACCTGATGAGGTTGCATACATTGTTTCATTGTCAGAATGGGTGAGGTGCACTCTTTGTTAAAAATCCTTTAGGTACGGCTAGTAGTTTTTTGCACGTAATATCCAAAAGTGTCAAGTAATAAAACTTACCTTTGAATGTCTGGTCACTGGTCAGATTTCAAATCTTGTTTATTTGGATCACATAGTCCCTGATTTTAGTCCTAACTTGGCCAGTTTTTTTATTTTATGGTGGCAGAGTTCTTGTACAGCTGCTTTGGGGTAGAAAATAAAATAAAATGACATCTTTTAGGTAAAGGTAAGTAAGGTTTTGTATCATACCAAAAGATACTCCGCTGAAAGATACACGCACACACAGCAGTGCCACCTTCTCATATTGGTGCGTATCCATCCTCGTAATCAAACCACACAATGATGATGTGATAATGATGATGATGTGATGATGTGAATGTTGATTAGAACTAATGATAGCACTCGAAGGGGGCGTGGGGGGTTACTGATGAGCGAACATTGTTAACATTTTTCCGACACATGGAGTGATTTAGTCTAAAATCAACATCAGATTCAGGGTTTTTTTTTTTTGTCCTGTCTCTCTTTCTTGATCTTTTTTCTCGGTGTGCCTACTTGTATGAGAGTTTGCCTTTATTAACCTTTTGTTTTCTCTAGTTATTCATAGATATTTTTTAATAATCGTGTTTGAAGTTTTATCCAAATAGGGAGTACTGAAGCAAATTTAAAATGGATAAAAACACACAAAAAGCTAATCAAACAGCTGCACACATGTTTCAATCCTTACATTATGCTTTTAAAATCATTAACATGGCGTAGCTGTAATTATAGTGTATGCCTGCCCTGTTCATTACTCGCAGGAATTAAATGTATGTTCTGTTTAAATTGGCTTGTGTTATCTTTGAGTACAGTTAATTGTTTTCGTGTGTTATGACATAATTTAATTACATTTAGGACTAAAGAAGCTAGACTCCTTTAAACATGATGATCAAAGTCTGTTTAGTAGAACTGTGTAATTAATACGTTCAACTTTACATTCAAAATGCAGCAAAACATATACAGCTGCTAGTAAAGACTCTAAAACAAGGCCCATTCTACTTAAGTCACTCATCTACGTGTAGAATTATTTTCACATAGTATCCCATGAGATGAGTATGAGACGAAGGGGCCCCAGTGATATGAAATTACACGTAACGTGGTGTTTCACCAAAGATATGGGGTTTTTTTGTTGTTAGTTTCTAAGAAAAAATCAGTTAAAATCATAAATCGGCGTGTGGTGTGGTGAGATTTTTCTCCCAGCCTACTGTGTAGCATGAACAATACTGACTGTCATCTGACAGTATTCAATGTACCTGTATCTGAATGCAGTTTTTTTACACTCTTGCTCCCCCTACAGTCAATCCTTGCAACTACAGACAATCCTCAACATTCAGAGGGGGGATTCAGTTAACACTTAACACCAGTATTCAAAGAGACGATGCTTGTCTTTTACTTCATTGAGTACAACTTTCCCCCTGTTTCTGAACAAGCTGGCTTGTGATCAGTGTAGCTGTACAGTAAAGAGATCATATTGTGTCGAAGGCCAAAATGAGTCTTCCTCTGGAGTTTGTGGTGTGACATTGAGCTGGCAGGTGAGCATGTAGTTGTGTGTATGTGTTTGTGCATGTGTCCAACCCCCTGCTCCCAGCAAGCGCCCAACTCCCCATAACAGGAAACGGCGAGGTGAGGCCAGGGTTTATGGGCTAATACGGCCTCAAAGGAGCCTCTTGTTTTGAAACAGAGCTGCAGCTCTTCATGCTTGTTTTCCATATTGGTCTGGCATGGAACGCTTCGACCCTGGCACAGGGGCAGGAAAACATGACACCGGTCGGAGCTTTGAACGCCGTGGGCACGGGCGAGGGTCTGCCAGTGCCCGTGTCCATCTCCCCTTCTGGGTCAGACAGAAACAGGTTGGGAATCGGTGCCAACTGACCGCACAGCCTGAGTACTCAACCTGCAGAAGCTGAAAATTCTCTTTAGAAAACATCAAGAGTATTGCTAAGACATACATTTATTTGTAAATCAAGTAAAACATTTGCTATCAGTGTGTCTTCAGAGGACTTTGCCAGCAGTTTTATGCCCATCCAACTTTGTTTCAGAGCAAAAACGATAATGAAAGGATGAAAAAGTACCACATGTTTTGGCTTGAAACAGCTGTTGAGATTTTATTTAAAGCTACTGTACACAACATTAACTAGTGATAGACCTATTAATCATTCGGCTGATTACTCGGGCCAATTATCTGCCATTTTGAAATAATTGACATTACCCGATGAACAGACACATCTGCAGGCAGCCTTCTTGGTGTCGAACGATGTTAGCACTCCTCCTTGTGAGTTTCTGAAAGGTAGTGAAAAATTCTCATCCATCCTGCTGTAAATGTTTGCTTAGATTTCCTCAGTCACCATAGTCTTTTCTACAAAAACTGCTCTTCCCTAAATAAGTCACATTCTACAGCAAAGTCCAATGTATTTTTGTATTTCATACCTCTTTAAAAATGCCATCTAAAACAACATCTTACTGGCTAAGATGAACATGGATATTAGATTGTAATGTGATGGAATAATGGAATTATACACAGCTTTTCTTTGTCTTCATTCTCAACCAATAGTTGGGCAAACTTACAAAAATGGATGTACAAAGGCATCTACAGTGTAACATCAACCAATGACGCCTGAATTCAGTTCAAACTATTGTAGTTTCAGGGTCACTGTCATGGCTTACTGGTACACAAAAATTACAACTTGTCATGATATCTATGAAAAGACTGTGAGATGTGGTTGAAAACTCTTGAAAAATCTAGTAAGTATGTCTCGAGTCAAGACTGTTTTGTCACTAGTTGACACATTGCTAGCTTATGTTCCAAGCCAAATTTCAGTTTTCAACAATGTGTTTATCTCAAAGCTGTATTTTAACTAATGGCCCTTTTTTATTTAAAGCTTGGACAACAATAAAAGCGGACATGTTTCCTTGATGAAATACTGTACTCAAGCAAGTTTCAAATTTCTTGAAATGTATAATCATAGTGACATAAATAGGAACTTATATTCATGCCTAAAATGAGTGAAAGCCATAATCAGAATCTCATCAGTCTACTACATGCTTGGACTTGGAGCGGTGACAGTGTGAAGGCCCGTTTTCTTCTGCCCCCTACTGGCCATAAATCAGCTAATACTGCTTTAACTTAGTGTGAACTAACCCGAGGGATACGGTCTCTGCTGTTTCCAGTCGTTTCTTTTTAAAAAACATTTTCTCCAGCTCATAGTTGTCAGTTTGGTAGTGTGAAGCTTCCACGGGCAAATCTCTTGTCTTTGC